GAATTGTGAAGCCTTCTCTTCACCAATGGCCTCGCATCAGCCAGGACGTGGTGTCAACTGTAGGTGACTGTATGGGGGTTTCGGGTTAACGCAGGCTTCGGAGTGTTGTGAGAGCCAAGAGAAGTCTGTTGTCCATCCCTCCTTCTGGGGCAACCTTCTGGGCATGTTCAGGCAAGTCGCGGCCTCCGAGTCGGTGCTGACCTCTGGGGCTTTCCTCACCACCTGAGAGCAATGCGAGGATCTAAGTGTCCAGTGAAGGAGGCGACCTTGACATCTGTCTCTACATTGAAGAATCGCAAGGCGAGGGTGGCTTCGATCGCCGCCGATTTCATCACAGGGTGGGGTTGTGGTACATCTACATGATGTCTTTGTCATGCAAAGTCAAGCATGTGCTGATGATCTACCTGCACATGTCACATGTGGGCTTCTCCTGGGCAACTGTCCGGAATCACCGCACGGAATCGGCGCATCAGCTAATCTGAAACGCCTGGCCCTGGGGTCACCAACCCTTAGCTTCGCCAACCCCCAAAAGGGACATTGGCACGGGAGGGCTCAAGTCCTTCTTTCCTTGTAGTGGCCGAGGCTGGCGCCGCAGACCCAGCCGGGCGAGGGTTCCAGTAAAAGCGCGGCTCAAACCAATCCTGCAGAGCATCAGCGTGGAGCACCGACGCCAGATCCAGGTACGAAAAAACTGCGGCCTCCGCGGCCCACAAACTCCACTGGCTCGGACTCGCCGTCCGACACCCTCGCCTGCTACAAGTTCCAGAAGACACACTGAGAAGAAAAAAAGAAAAAGGACACGTCGCTGCGGCCTGGTGTGCCAAGCGGTGCCGAAGCTCCGCGACCTCTCGGTCAGGTGACCCATGACACATTTTAATGCGTTCTCCTTCCACAAATTGCCTCCTCACGCAAGGCTGCTAGCTCCTGCAACAAGAGGATGAGCTGGAAGCGCGACTGACGCAGCACTCATGGTGTGAAAACACTCCCCTCGGCCTCGCTTGTCTGCTTGCGCAGCTCCTTGCAAGTAAGGTGGGCGGGAGGGGGTTCCAGAGCGAGTGCCCAGAGTGGAGCCCTTGACCGTTCAAGCACGCTCCTTCTGCGGACTTGGGAACACGCGCTACATCGACGAGAGGCGCCAACACGTTTTTGCAAAAACTCGGAAGATAGGGTTTGGCTTGCACCTTGCAAAAGACATGGGAAGGTGCCACTCCGTGTGGAGTCAATGCTTCTAGCGAGTCTGTTCGTCATCGAGCTGTCTCAAGCTGCTGCTTTACCTGACTGCTAGCGTGCCAGCAAGACGCGGAGGAGACAAATGGACACGCACGCGCGCGCGACAGGGAGGAATGCCTCTGCTTCGAGAACCAAGCGCACACGACACGACAGAAGGCAAGGTTTCCTCCTGCGGTTTGTGACTCACACCTATGATCACACAAAGTGCATGGACCAATGGAGCTACGGTCCATTCCCGATCCTTCTCAAACGAACCCCTGCAAGGCGTGAGGGACCGAATGAAACACGAAGCAGCTGCGGCGCGGCCTCCAGCAGCTGCTCGTAATGCAGCCGCTGCTCCTCACAGGCGTCAGAAAGAAAATGGGGCGAAACCAGCCCTGGAGAGCGTCCCATCCCGACATTCGGTTGCCGGTGCCTTTTTTCCTAAGGGTCACTTGTGTCTTTTGCCATATGTTCTTTGACTGAACCGTTAGCATCTTCTTCGAGTAAGCTTGGGTTGAGGGTGGCAGACTCTCCTTGTAAGGGCTGGCATTTGGCCTTCCCAAGGGTTTGAGGCCAAGCCCCAATAGTTCCTTTTCTGGATTACATTGCGCCCCATCTCCTTTTTGGGGGTCTTTGGGATTGCCACTGCCAAGACCTGATCTAGTAGAAAGAGTAGCCACCGTCGCTTGCATGGTAGCAGTCAGAGGTATGTGCAATGGGCGTGCAAAAACCCTGGCCAACGCATTCGAATTTTCTATTGGTTTAGGGTTTCGCTGCTAAGTACATATTTGAGCTACGGTCAAGACGGTGTGGGTTTGTGCAGGAATGCTTGAGAAGGAATAGAACAAAGCTGCGACTGTAATTCAGGGAAGCCTTTCGCGATCAAGGGTGCAGGGCGTAGGGGTTCCCGAATCCTTCGAAAGACTCCCCAATATGACCCAGGCAGCATCCCGGAAACGCGGCCTCGAGCAGCTGCTCGATGCACACTGGATCCCAATCCTGCGTGTAGAGTCAGGCGGCTTAGGTGCACCGTTTCAGGCTTAGGGAATAAAAAAAAGCAAGAAGAAAGAGAGAGAGAACGAGAGGACGAGAGAAAGAATGAACAAATGGCTTTGAAAAAAAACTTCATAAACCGCCCGGGAAACCTCAGCACATGTGTTAAGTTTCCTGCTTAGGGTTTCGGGGTTACTCTGGCTCCCCAAATCCCTGACTGCTTCAATCCCCCAACAACGCGAAAACCTACCGTGGGCCTGGTCGTTGTCAGCAGACCACGTGCGTCGCCACTCACGGGCGATGTTGCCGAACCTGGTTGCTGGCACACAAGCAGCTCTCACAATCCTCAGTTCTCTACATAGTCTACATAGGAACCCGAAGCCACCGAAGCCCTCAAACTCTGGCGAGAAGCTTCACGGACTTGGTGCTTTCCGGCATGAGCCACCTAAGGCGTCTCCAAGTCAAAAGCGCTTGAGCCAAAAAGCACTCCATGCACAGAGCTCAAGGCTTGGGGCATTTTGGCGGGTTTCGGGTGTGAAAGCCATGGAGAGCTGCAGCTGAATCCACAATGCGCACCTAGGATGCGCACCTACAGCCGTGCGCTTGCGGCATAGTTGTGTTTGCGGGCGCCCGTCTTACCTTTACTAGAATATGAATCATGACTCAAACAAATTATTCGTTGAATCTTTCAGATTATCTCCACAGAGGTCCTATGAAAAAGGGAGTAGACAGCGACCACGAGTGACCTGGGCAGTTCGGTCCAACCCTCAACTCGCGATAAAAAGCCTGCTAGAGATTCCTACGTGTCGGAAACACCCTGCACGTAAGGGGCTGGGACCCAAAAATTCCGTCCACCACGCCCGTTGGGGGGTCTGGGAACAAGAGTCCCCGACCAGCTGCCCCAGGTTTTTTTCGGCACGGTCTCGAGGGCATCGGGTCTGGAAGCGGCGGCTCAGGCCACTCATTGGTCCTGACGCAGCGTCCCACGTACTGCTGGCTGTTGCACGACCACAACCCACCCCCGGTCACATCACCCTCAGACCCCAAACCGTAAACCCTAAACCCTAAACCTCAAACCCTTAACCCTAAACCCTAAACCCAACCCTAAACCCTAAACCCTAAACCCTAAACCCTATTGACTGCGGACCGCAGCTGCAAATCTCCCCTATTCAGATGGCCCCACTGCTAAGTGTTCACGATTGACAGGTCTTGAGAACTACGGTGCGGGGCTGAAGGTTTCAAGGCTGAGTTTAATAGTTTAGCTTTCGGCATATGTATATGCATATGTATATGCATATGTATATGTATATGTATATGTATATGTCTATCCCGCCGCCGTGGAAACCGTACCCTACTTTTGGTGAAAGTTAGCGTTTCGCCTAGGCGACAAGCCTATTTTGGAAGGTTTTAGAAAGGCGTGATTTCGTAAGTCGTTTTTGCGAAACGTTGGGTTTTTGCAAGATTTTCGGGTCGTTTTGTTGTTGGGGCCTTGAGCGCTCTGGGACTTTTCCTTTGCTGTGTGTGCAGTCGTGACGCGAGTCTCACAGCTTTGCTGTGTGCATGCGCGGCAAACACTGTAATTCGCGATGTTTTCATGCATTTCTGCCAAGACAGCCTCTATACACATACACATACACATACACATACACATACACATACACATACACATACACATATACGTATACATATACATGTACATGTACATGTACATATACATATACATATACATATTTTGTATGTGTGTATAACTATATATATATATATATATATATATATATATATATATTGTCTATTTATTTATTACTTAAGCATTTATTTATGTATATTTATTTTCCGTTTTTTGTGATTTCAGGCTCAACTTGACACTTGTTTTCGCTTAACTCACGACTCTTCATGGGGCACTCTCGGCTCAAAGCTTGTCGCAGTGTTTAGGGTTGGGCGCAGGTGGGGCGACCTGAACGAGGGGCTTCAATAGACACACATCGAGCAGAATGGGTTTTCAACATGTTCAATATGGGGTTTTATATGATTTTAAGCTTTACGGGTTTAGGGCTGGATGAATTCAAGGCTTTAGGTTTTTGGGGGCTAGGAACTTGTCGGGGCCCTTGTCGGGGTCTCCGCCACAAGGCTTTCACTAAGTCGAGTTGTCGGGTTTAGGGAGCCAAGACACTCCACACCAAGGAAGAGGTTCCCACTCTCCAAACTGACTGGGAGGCTGCAAACTTCATGAGGGCTTGATAAGTCCAATATCTCGCAGCCCCAAGCAAACCGCCACCATCATCGCAAAATGCAGCTGCGCTCGAGGAGCATGACCGGAAGATTGTCATCTGTCTTGCTCTTTCCACTTCTCGGTTTTTTTCTTGAGCTCCGATCTTTAACTAAGTTGCTTTTGAACCAGAACCAGAAACCAGGACAAGATCAAGTCACTAAAGCACACGCCCAATGGACACCTGCAGGGGCTTGCTGGCGGAGCTGGCGGAGATGGCGGAGATGACCTTGTCATTGCTCATGAACAAAGGAATACAGAATGCGCATGCAGATGGCCGAGCAAAGCTTCAACAAGATACACGAATCGCCTTTTTCCCAGAGCGCACTTTAACAAGCACAGGCTTGTGCTGCAGCAAGAAGGCAAGACGCTGTCCGAGGTTTCGCCTTGCGGGCTATCCCGGAACTGGGGAACGCGCGCCAAAATGGGCGCTATCCTGCGGCTACGAGAATATTCTTGTAGAAGCTAAGAGTCCTTGAGGTGATGCCGAGGCCTGACTCGAACTTTGCCCCAGAACTCTCAGCTCTTCTCAACTCTTCTCCCGATTCTTCTCCTTCAGCTGCTTCAAGTCGGCCAGATGTCGGGAAGAGCGCCGCCTTCTGGCCTCTTGCCTTGCGTCATTCTGATGCTGGATGTGTACCGTGGCATGACAGAACTCGCAAGATGGATTCCGACAACCGTTCTTGCTGGCGAGGAAGGCGCAGGGCTTGCAATCCACGTGGCCCTTCGTTGCCTCCGTCTCTTGCGACCCCTTCTTGCGCTCCGCCAGCTCATGCAAGAGGGTGAGTAGCTTCAACTTACCTTGCCAGAAGGTTCTTTAAGGCACATGAAGCTTGAAGCTTTTGGAAGCCCCCAAGGCTGCTAAACTGAGCTAGCTGTGGGACCCCGAAAGCATGTTACCAAACAGCAAACCGCGAGATTATTGTCAATCTTGCAGTTGAGAAGTGCCTTTTGAAAACCCCCCTGGGCAACTGAGGCCGCGTCCTTGCTCCTGCAACTGGTGCATGTGAGGCCCTTCCAGCTTTGGGTGCAGATTGTCCAGGTCATCTTCGCGAGGAGTCACGCAGACCCCGCACTGCGGCGCCATTGAACCCTATCACCGACTGGAGGCTTCTTGCTACCAAAAATCTGCAGCCAACACGAGAGGGCAAAGAAATGATTCTGACGTAGGCCTGGATCGGGACAGGATCTCAAGCCTGGGTGGGCTTGGCGTTGATCAGAACAAATTTGGGGCGGCGTCTTCATACGTGAAATGTGACTCCCCCGCAATCCGACACCCCCCAAAAGCCTTTTCGATTCGAACCCCCCCCCCCTCCCTGCTGTCCCTTCTCCGTCCCTTGAGCTCCAGGCAAGAAAGCTGCTCCGCAGGCTCTCCGCCTGTTACGGTGAACAACTTCCGGCGCACCTGCAACGCTTCACAGCTCTACGTAAGGGTCGAGTCGAAGACCATGGATTTGTGCAAGTTGCATGAAGTAACACGGCCAGACTTGATAAAAGCACGCCACTTCATCAAAAACATGCTCTTCTTCTGCCTTAACCCGCGGTGTGTGACAACTGCAAGACGTCTCCGAGGCAATGAGCCAACTTCTCAAACCCTGACAGAACCCCGAGAAGGATGGAGCTGATGGGGTCAGTGCCAAGGGTCTTGAGAGCGCCCTTTTTTCTGCAAGAAGTGCCCGGAGAAATTCAGTTGACCGCATCCCTGCCGCGGGCCTGCCCCCGACCCCCGCGGCCTCAAAGAGACGCGATTTTACAAAAGAAATGGAGAAAATAGAGGAGGCGTGGAGAGACAACCTGCAGCTTCTCTCCATCCACACCTACTCAGCAAAACTCCCCGCGGAAAAAAACCATCGCCATGCTTTCGGAGAGAAGGAGAAAGACAAGGAAGAACTTACGTAGTTTCTCAGCCACGTGCAGTTGCGCAAGAACAAAATCTCCCAAGCCATGTGCTCGCATATGCTCGTCTCACTCATGACACACCTCCTATGCCCTTGGTGCAAATAGAGTCCTCTGTTCATGCTCCAATCCTTGAACATTGAAACTGCAGGAGGGCTGCGAAGTGCAGACACTCCAACCCTAAACCCTAAACCCTAAACCCAAAACCCTAAACCCAAAACCCTAAACCCTAAACACTAAACACTCAACATTAAACCCTAACCCCACAACCCCCCTCTTTCGGGCCTCGATTCCCCTGTTCACGATACCATGGCTGGGATCTCCAAAGGGACAGGACAGCTCCTTAGGGTTGGAGACTTAAGCTTCAGGTTTAGGGTTTCGGGAAATGCCCAACCATCTTGCTGCTCGGGCTTCGGATTTAGGGTTTCGGGTGGAGAGCTCAGGGCTTCATGGCTTCATGTTGTTGTTCCAGATATCTGAGATGCTGACATGTGATACGCTACAGAGGAACTTACTTGTCCGTTGCAGAAGTAAACGCGTTGGACAGAACATAAAAGAAGTGCAGCAGCAGGCGTTGGCAGGCACGACTGACCTTTTGAGCGCACTTCGTGTGACTGCGGGCAACTGCCGGTCAGTGAGAGGCCTACGCAAGCCACTGCCAGGTGTCGGAGCGTCTCCGAATCACCCCATTGCTCGCTTTGCGCACGTCCGAGCCGAAGGATCTCACATGACCGGCAGGAGCCAAGGAACGCATCCCGCAGGCGGCACTGACATGCGCACAGGGCAGTCTTGCAGGACTCAAGAGGAAGTGAGGAGCACGGCAACACTGCAAGGCCGTGCCTGAAGTCGTCAAGTGGTATCCTCTAGGCGAAGAAGTTCAATGGAGAACTTAGGGGTCCCATCTCCACGGGTGAACATTTGGGAAGTTGAGCAGGGTGTGCCCAGAGCTCCGGACCTGGACCGTGTGAGGGTCTCGATCCAGGTGACATAGGTGACGGCTGAGAGGATGAAGGAGGGCACAGAGGTCGGCTGCACACGGCCAAATCTACCAAAACGGGGCCATGACGGCCACCTGGCACAAGACTCGCACGGCCGCCGGCTTTGGGCCTCTTGCTTGGCGAGAGTGGCAAAGAGGGATGTCTTGAATCCGGTAAGTGGATTGAATGGGTTCAAAGCTGCAGAGAGCCCGTCCTCGCGGTCCCCTGCAATGTTACAAAGCCTCCCCGAATTGCTCATACTGCTTCTCTCGCTTCTCATCTGTGCTGCGCGCGTTCCTGGCCGATACGGCTCACTGATCACTGATGCTGACCGTATCACTGATCGGCAAAGCGGCAAAGGCACAGAAGGGGCGCCCCTAAGGGCGAGCGGTCGCCGAACTCGACATTTCGCCTCTCAGCCCATGATTTCCGTAGGGCCTCTCTTATTGCGCATTTGCGCAGAGCGTTCAGAGCGTTGGCATGGCGAAAGCTGCCCGTATGCCCCTCTCCGAACACCCCAAACCCCTAGAGCGGGCAATCGCGTGTCCACCAGCGGGGAGTCAAAGTCAAAGCAAGTTTCCTCGACTCTGAGCCTTCCTGTTTGGGCTTCTGCTCGGGTCCCCCTACAAGCCGTGTGAGCCCTCAAAGTCTTGGAGCCCACCCTGAGCCCTAAGCCCGAAACCCTAAACCCCCAAAACACTTCCTAAGTCCTTTAGAGGCCCCGAAAACTCGAAAATTCCTAAAGCCCGTGCCGGATTTTCGGCGACCTCGTCCACCTCGGCTCCTCGGCTCAGTCGGCTCCGCATGTCTTAAGCGGGGTTTAGGGTTTAGGGCTTAAGGTTTAGGGTTTGGGGTTTGGGATTTAGGGCTTCGGGTTTTTGGCGTATGTCAAGCATGCCAGGCACGCCGGCCTCCTCGCAAGCCGGGTCCCTGTGGGGCACGTTGCGCTGGCCGACCGCTTGGCTCCTGCCGCAGGCTTTGCGCCACGTAAGTGGTATCCACGCTGGAAAGCCCCGGTTTGAACTTCATGACGCACACTACCACCAATGCCGCGTGCAGACACTTGCCGATGCACTTCCTGATTTAATTTGACGGTGGGTCAAGCTCCTCGACACCGCCCTTTTCATGTGGTAAAAATCGCGCGGCCTTTTCTTCCCACTCCACATCAAGTTTCTCCAAATGAAGCGCCCTGCCTTGGCCATGATTGTCATACCCGGGATGCAGCACCCAGTATAAACCAATCTGCCTGCACATTGACCCCCCGGTGCCGCCCGGGCTACCCTGCGGCCTAGTGCGCGGTTTTCGCGGTTGCTAGTCGGGTTTCCCCTCCCTGGTTTTGCACCCGTGCTTGGAGCATCATGGAGCCTGGGCACCCCCCTGCTTGGAGCCCTTTTACGGTGTCTTCCCTGAGCCCCCACAGCCCCGACGCGGCTGAGGCGCCAGCGCCAGCGCCAAGCAAAATCGACTTGGGTAGTTTCGCGCCGTCAGAGCCTAGATCGGCAACAGGCAGCCACAGCAACGGAGCCGGGTGTATATGCTCCAAGTGCATGCTAACTTCACGCTCAATTCATGCCCGATGGCCGACTCTGACCTCGCGCGGCTGGGGTGGTAGAGAGCACTGAGCGGACGAGCTTACCGCTTCAGCCTGCCTCCTGGCTCGGCAGTACGTCGGTTGTATGTGTTCAGCGTTGCCAGAACAGTGCTGGCATCCCGTTAACGTAGCTTCGAATGTGAAATATTGCGGAAGTAGACACATCTGAACCTGTACACTTCAAAACCACATTTTCCCAAGCCGTGCATGGATTTCGGGGTGGCTCATCTGCTCTTGACCTATGATGGGTCAGCGCCGCGCACGCTTTCGACACTGCTCTTTACTTAAGTATTGAGTGTGGTCCTCGTGTGCCCTCCAAGCGGATTCCGAGCACACAGCCATGCAGCAGACCATGCAGATGTGTTCTCAGCGCAGCTTTGCGACTAAATGCTTTGAGTTGGTGATGCTGAACTGCATCGTCGCCCGTGCTGCCTTAAACTGGCAACAGACTTGGAGGCTTGCCGCCGCAGTTGAAACAGGGCCCCTCATCCGGTGATGCTAGCAATCGAGCCGGTGAACTGCATCGCCCTCGCCACCTTACCACTTTAAGCTGAGAACAGACTTAGGGACGGAGATCTTAGCCGACGGTGCCAGCAGGGAGCGCAGCGCAGCACTGAGTACGCCAAGGTCAAGCCAACTGCCAAGCAACATCGGCCGGGCCGAAATTGAATTGCGCGGCGGAATGGACGATTCAGCAGTGCAACGACAACGCGTTGTCCACCCACACGTCACATTCCACAGGCTCTGTCAAGCCTCATGCTCCATTCATGCACCACGTGTGGCTGGGGCGGTTAGAGGACACTGAGCGCACGAGGCTGCCGCTTCAAAGCCGAGGGCCAATTAAGCCAGGGCACGGAATGGGTCTCTCCGATGCCTCATACCTGCGCAGCCGCCGTGAGAGGCGTAGCACAAGGCATCCGGGCACAGCACGCGCCGGTGTCCACGCGTCCATCACGCAAAGCTTGACATCCCAGAATGCGCGCTACAACTTCTGACGTCTTGCCTGCCTCCTGGCTCGGCAGTACGTCGGTTGTATGTGTTCAGCGTTGCCAGAACAGTGCTGGCATCCCGTTAACGTAGCTTCGATTGTGAAATATTGCGGAAGTAGACAAATCTGAACCTGTACACTTCAAAACCACCTTTTTGCCAAGCCGTGCAACACTGCTCTTTACTTAAGTATTGATTGTGGTCCTCGTGTGCCCTCCAAGCAGATTCCGAGCACACAGCCATGCAGCAGACCATGCGGATGTGTTCTCAGCGCAGCTTTGCGACTAAATGCTTCGAGTTGGTGATGCTGATCTGCATCGTCGCCCGTGCTGCCTTAAACTGGCAACAGACTTGGAGGCTTGCCGCCGCAGTTGAAACAGGGCCCCTCATCCGGTGACGCTAGCAATCGAGCCGGTGAACTGCATCGCCCTCGCCACCTTACCACTTTAAGCTGAGAACAGACTTAGGGACGGAGATCTTAGCCGACGGTGCCAGCAGGGAGCGCAGCGCAGCACTGAGTACGCCAAGGTCAAGCCAACTGCCAAGCAACATCGGCCGGGCCGAAATTGAATTGCGCGGCGGAATGGACGATTCAGCAGTGCAACGACAACGCGTTGTCCACCCACACGTCACATTCCACAGGCTCTGTCAAGCCTCATGCTCCATTCATGCACCACGTGTGGCTGGGGCGGTTAGAGGACACTGAGCGCACGAGGCTGCCGCTTCAAAGCCGAGGGCCAATTAAGCCAGGGCACGGAATGGGTCTCTCCGATGCCTCATACCTGCGCAGCCGCCGTGAGAGGCGTAGCACAAGGCATCCGGGCACAGCACGCGCCGGTGTCCACGCGTCCATCACGCAAAGCTTGACATCCCAGAATGCGCGCTACAACTTCTGACGTCTTGCCTGCCTCCTGGCTCGGCAGTACGTCGGTTGTATGTGTTCAGCGTTGCCAGAACAGTGCTGGCATCCCGTTAACGTAGCTTCGATTGTGAAATATTGCGGAAGTAGACAAATCTGAACCTGTACACTTCAAAACCACCTTTTTGCCAAGCCGTGCAACACTGCTCTTTACTTAAGTATTGAGTGTGGTCCTCGTGTGCCCTCCAAACGGATTCCGAGCACACAGCCATGCAGCAGACCATGCGGATGTGTTCTCAGCACAGCTTTGCGACTAAATGCTTCGAGTTGGTGACGCTGATCTGCATCGTCGCCCGTGCTGCCTTAAACTGGCAACAGACTTGGAGGCTTGCCGCCGCAGTTGAAACAGGGCCCCTCATCCGGTGATGCTAGCAATCGAGCCGGTGAACTGCATCGCCCTCGCCACCTCACCACTTTAAGCTGAGAACAGACTTAGGGACGGAGATCTTAGCCGACGGTGCCAGCAGGGAGCGCAGCGCAGCACTGAGTACGCCAAGGTCAAGCCAACTGCCAAGCAACATCGGCCGGGCCGAAATTGAATTGCGCGGCGGAATGGACGATTCAGCAGTGCAACGACAACGCGTTGTCCACCCACACGTCACATTCCACAGGCTCTGTCAAGACATTCTACGTCAGTTCTGCAACGCTTGGTTATCCTAGCCCTATGGTCCACTCATGCGCGGCGGACAACTCTGACAAGGAGGCAATACCGTGATTGCGGCACGGTCATGCGTGGCCGGGTCGGTACAGAGCACGAGCTTGTTGCTTCAGTGCCGAGGGCCAATTATGCCCAAAGCCAACTTGATGACTTTAAAATTTGTGGTGCACGTTATTGTTGCACTCCGTCCTGGGTCTTTCTGCCTTAGGTTCAGCTCCCATTCCGAGCACGGCCTGCAAGCCAAATGTTCTCCGTGCCGCCTTGGAGCGGGAGCGCCAGCAGGAGCTCTGGAACCACTCTGAAGCAAACTCGAGTTGGTGATGGTGAGCTGCAGCGCGCTTGCCGCTTTAAACCGATGAAAGAGTTGGAGGCTTGTTTGCATCACTTTCATCACTTTCATGCGCGGGTTTAGGGGGGATCTCAGGCGGTGATGCGAACAGAAGCTAAGCAGCTTTTGCAAAGCGGTGCCCTAGCTTGATGCTCCTTGCGTGAAGGGCTCTGGGCCAAGCAGGGCCAAGCTGCCTATTCAATCAGAACTGGCTGGGGGTCTCTTACCTGGGGCGCGTGTTTAGGGGTACCCTGGCACAGAGGTGCCCCTTAAGAAGTGCATCTGAGAATCTGGGCATCTTCGGAGTAGCCCAACGTGACCTTACAAGTGAGCCTTCCCTGCGTCTGAGGACGGCACGAGGACAAAACAGCACATGAGGAGTGCTGAAGCTGCGGATACAAGCAGCCCGAAAGCACCTTCCCTACTTCTGAGGGCGGCGCGAGGACAAGCCTACACAAGGGAATTCCAAAACTTGCAGACATCCATCTCACAAGCAAGCGGGCACGCGCGCGCACACGCCCCTTGCGAAACTCTTCAAGAAAGCGCCTTCCCTACTTCTGAGGGCGTGGACAAACTGACACAAGGGAGCACAGCACATGCCGACATGCTCACTGGCCTCCCTCGACGCAGGCAAGCGTGTGCGCGTGTGCCTGCGAGGAGTTGGTCAGGCTGGCCGGATTCCAGCGCGAAGAGTACCCTACGGATCCCGAAACTTAAGGACCTTCACCGCCTTCACCTTCTGAGTTCAGGAAGCCAGCTGCGGGGTCCCGGAGCAGGGTCGCGGGGCTCCCCCTTTGCACCATCAACGAAGCCAGTAGCTGCTTGTAGCTCCTCCCTTCTGGGCGTTTAAACCTAAGTCCTGAAAGGGGCACGGTGGCTGTGCAGACGGCTTGACTTCCGAAAGTGACCCTTCAGTCTCGCGGCGAGCCCGCATACCGGAGTCGCTGCGACAGGTTTAGGTGCTATGGTGCAGGGACTACGTCGGGCGACAGTGCTTCGGGGCTGCGTTGGGCACACCGGCGATACATGGGGGAGGTTCCGAAGCGCCCTTGCAGCGAAGCTCCCTTTGATGGAAATTATAGGCTTATGGGGGCATATGGATTGCACGCAGACTCGAGTGGCAAAATGCAGTCTCCGGAGGCCAAATCCGCATCACTCGCCACACTGCAGAAATGCGAAAGAAGAACATCCGAATGCTGTTGGCCCTCGTAAACCCTCGCCTGTGCCTTTCTTCTGTGCAGAGAATTTCCAGCACGCCGCAAGGTTGCCATATGCCAACAGGCGCAGCCGATGTAGAGGGGCTCATCTACGCGCAGGCATAGGGAGTTCTTGCTATCATCGGACGATGATCTCCCGGTTCGATTCTGAGGTCCCCTTTAAAGTCCATGGAGCATCGCTGCCTCATCGCTTGCGAGGGAGCGCTCGGCTCATTGCAGGCTGACTCGGAGATATTTGCCTCTGCCTCTGCCTCTGCCCCTGCCCCCTCACAACAGCACGAAGCTGAATCACTGACATCGTGCCGCCCGAACGCAGCAAGCAACAAGCACAGCAACCTCAAACGTCAACGTCACGTGCAGCATCTAGCCTGGGGCAACATCGGAACACCTGTCCGATGCAAAGGCCGGCTCCTGCCTGGCTTCTCGACGAGGTTGAAAGCCTCACCGGGCCGTCAAAGAGCCTCCCATGAGCCCCGCCCTAGACGTAATCCGTGTATGCCACATCGAAGCTTCCTTTGAAGAGCTCCCTCTCGAGGATCCCCCCACCACCCCCACCAATAAATAAGGTCCGCAGCTATTACGACGTTTCCTCATGTTGAAGCGGAAGAACCAATCTGACATTGGCAAAAATCATGTACATGACTGCCCGACCGACTCGACTATACCTCTTGCCCACCTTTCCACTCTCACAAACTGGGCATGGGAGAGCGGTGGCACCCCTCCTGCCCAGTACAATTCTGGGTCCCCCTGCTCCTTGACTCGAGCTGTCTTCACCGGCGCTCCGTCTTGACCTTTTCGTCTGGGCCAACTTGCCGAAGACTGAAGATACATGTAAGTGCTCCGTCACTTTCTGTGTTGGAGATCACTGCCCCGAGGCACTCCAAAACTGCACCGCCACGGTTGCATGTGCAAGGTCTCTTGGCGCAGCTGTGGAAGTTGCGCGCGTAGCGGGCGCTCGCAAAGCCAGGAAGGCAGGCTGATCTCTGCTCCAAGTCACACGCCGTAGCTGGATCACGCGGGCAGAAGCCATGCCGTAACTTGGCACAGCGCACCACGTCTCACCAAAGCGCTGCGATGCGGCCGCAAGCCTCAAATCAGGATCGCAAAGGGACCCTACGACCCTACTTAACCCCACGCTGTGCCCCAACGGCACAGAATGAGATATGCTGACATACGATGACACATGACGACACATGGCTCCCGGAGCACCATTCCTGAGAAGGTCGACGCCGCAGGCACCCACCGGCGTCCGTAGGCCGCAGGGCAGTCAGCATCACCCTTAGCACGTGATGCTCAGAGCAGACAGCTGCCGCGCACTCCTCTCCCGAAGGTGCCGTCTCTGCTGCCTGCGGCAAGGTCATGCTCGCCTGGCCTCCACGAGAGCCTCCACTTGGGTTTAACATTTACAGGTTTGTTAGATTCTCAATCCTGGTGCACGAGCAGGGAAACGAATGCTGGTCACGGCACAGAGTGGCAGGCTAACGCGTCCCACAGCTCCTGGTGCACCAACAAGGTATCCCAAAGCATTCGATTTGCCTCTAGCCTCTGATGCCTCTGATCTCTCACACTAGGATCTACTTACGCAGTCGTGGACACAGGCGGCACACAGGTGTCACAGGCACCAGACGGCCGTCGGGAATGCAAGCAGAGCATCATCGCTTGCGAGGGAGCACTAGGTTCGCAAGCTGACTCGGAGTCTGTGTGCTCAACTTGCCTCTGCCCACATCACTGACCTACATCCGGCCGGACAAGTGCAGCAATGTTGCTGTCACTGCTGCTTGCTGCAAGGTCGTCAGGAGAGCCTCCACTTGGGTTCAGGTGGTCCAGCGTCTACAGGTGCGCACGAGCACAGAAAGGAATGCTGGTCACAGCACAGAGCGGCAGGCGACCGCATCCCACAGCCCCCCTAGTGCTTCAACAGATTGTCCCGAAGCGTTCGCTTTGCCTCTAGCCTCTGATGCCTCTGATGTTTCTGCTGTCCCTGATGCCTCTGATGTCTCTGATGTCTCACTCTGGAAGCTACTTTTGCGGTCGTGGACACAGGCGGCACACCGGAGAAACAGGTACTAGCCGGTCGTCGGGAATGCAAGCAGAGCATCGTCGCTTGCGAGGGAGCACTCGGCTCGTTGCAGGCTTGGAGATGTTCGGATGTCTCGGTGTGCTCAACTTGCCTCTGCCTCTGACCCTGCCTTCCCAACAGCAGCGCACGAAGCTGAATCACTGACATCGTGCCGCCCGAATGCAGCAAGCAGCAAGCATAGCAACCTCAAACGTCCCGCGCGGCCTTTCGCCTGGGGGAACATCGGAAAACAGGTCTGATGCAAAGACCGGCTCCTGCCTGGCTTCTCGGCAAGATTGAAAGCCTGCTCACCGGGCCGTCAAACAACCTCCCGTCGGCCCCACCACATCCTTGCCGTTCCTTATCGATCATCGTTTCCTGTGAGAACTTTGCGCGCACCCCATGCAGGGCTCTCTCGTTGCACCAAGCTGTCGTCGACGAGGCTCCCTGACTCCAGTTGCACCACGTCCGCCTGTGCGGTCTTCACAGCGCTTCGCAGGAGCTCCGTCTTGGCCTTGTATAGTCTCTGACAGCCATCACGGCTTTCTGTGGCCGGTGTGGCCAACTTGCTGAAAACTCAAGGTACATGTAAGAGCTCCATCACTTTCTGAGGTGGAGATCACTGCCTCAAGGCGCTCCGGAACTGCACCGCGACGGTTGCATGTGCAATGTCTCTTGGTGCAGCCGTAGACGTCGCGTGCGCAGCGGGCGCTCGCGAAGCCAGAAAGACGGGCTGATCTCCGCTCCAGGACACGCGCCACTGCATCACGCGGGCAGAAGTCACCCTGTAACTTGGCACAGCGCACCACGTCTCACCACACGGCTGCGATGCAGCCGCGAGGCCACGGCGGACCAGTCTCAAATGAGCTTCAAAATCAGAAGCATCCGAAGCCTCAATTCAGGATCGCAAAGGGGCCCTAACGGCACAGAATGGCACATGACGACATACGATGACACATGATGACACATGTCTCCCAAAGCACCAGTCACAAAGTCGACACCGCAGGCACCCGCAGGCGTCCGTAGGCAGCAGGGCAGTCAGCATCACCCATAGCACGTGATGCCAATGATGCTCACAAGCGGGCGTCTGCCGCAGCTGCTGTCACTGTTGCCTGCTGCAAGGTCATGCTTGCCTCCAAGAGAGCATCCACTTGGGTGCAACGTCTACAGGTTGCAAGATTCTCTCACTGATTGCACTAACCAAGAAACGAATGCTGGTCACAGCACAGAGCGGCAGGCGACCGCATCCCACAGCCCCCCTAGTGCTTCAAAAGATTGTCCCGAAGCATTCTCTGATGCCTCTTGCCTCTGATGCCTCTGATGCTTCTGCTGTCCCTGATGCCTCTGATGTCTTACTCTGGAAGCTACTTTTGCGGTCGTGGACACAGGCGCCACGCAGGAGACACGGGTACCAGCCGGTCGGGAAAGCAAGCAGCACATCATCGCTTGGGAGGGAGCGCTCGGCTCATTGCAGGCTCGGAGATGTTCGGCGCGCGGCAACCTTAAACGTCACGTGTAGCATCTGGGGGAAGATCGGAGAACATTTCTGATGCAAAGAACGGCTCCTGCCGGCCTTCTCGGCAAGATTGAAAGGCTGCTCACTGGGCAGCCTAAGGGCCGACGCCGGCTGGCAAACCTACATGAATCGAATATAACTCACACATCTTTGTTTAATATGTTTTGGGGTCCATTTTTGTGGTTCTGCATAGCCAAAAGATTCTCATTTTTCGATGGAATAGTGGTGGACTGCGGTGACTCAACAGGGATTTGATTTTATCACGGCTCTTGGTGTCCAAGGTATGGGCCCTTGCATAATGATTGACGGCCCGAAACTATGGGTACCTTGACTCCCAGCTGGCATTCCATTCCTCATGCCCAACCGATGGGACAACATTCCCACAAGCCACGGCCCACTCTTCCTCTCAGCAAATAGCGTCCGAAGTTTGGGCACCTTGATGTGTCAGACACATGTCCGGCGTTCGTGGCGGGAACTTGCGCAGCATCTCTTGTACCTTAGACAGAACCTGCAACCGGCCCCACCCGAGGCATACGCCAGGCCACACGCTTGCCGTTCCTCATCTATCATCGAACCTTTCCTGTGAGAACTTGCACCCCACGCAGGGCTCTCTCGTTGCACCAAGCTGTCGTCGACAAGGCTCCCTGACTCCAGTTGCACCACGTCCGCCTGTGCGGTCTTCACAGCGCTTCGCAGGAGCTCCGTCTTGGCCTTGTAGTCTCTGACAGCCATCACGGCTTTCTGTGGCCGGTGTGGCCAACTTGCTGAAAACTCAAGGTACATGTAAGTGCTCCATCACTTTCTGAGGTGGAGATCACTGCCCCAAGGCACTCCAAAACTGCACCGTGACGGTTGCATGTGCAATGTCTCTTGGCGCAGCCGTAGACGTCGCGTGCGCTCCGCTCCAGGACACGCGCCACTGCATCACGCAGGCAGAAGTCACCCTGTAACTTGTCACAGCGCACCACGTCTCACCACACTGCTGCGATGCAGCCGCGAGGCCACGGCGGACCAATCTCAAATGAGCTTCAAAATCCGAAGCATCCGAAGCCTCAATTCAGGATCGCAAAGGGACCCTACTCAACCCCACGCCGTGCCCTAACGGCGCAGAATGGCACATGATGACATACGATGACACATGATGACACATGTCTCCCAAAGCACCATTCCTGACAAAGTCGACACCGCAGGCACCCGCAGGTGTCCGTAGGCAACAGGGCAGTCAGCATCACCCATAGCACGTGACGCTCAGAGCAGGCAGGTGCCCTGCACAGCACCATCACCTGGCAGATCTGGCAGCCTGGCACCTTGTCGCAAGCAGGGCACGCGCCTCGCCGCTATGGTGCCCAGCGCCATATCCGGGTGTCTGGTCGAATCATGGCGGCGTGCATGTGTGCGCCAAGTTCGTCCACCAAGTTCAGGATCGATTGTGCTGTGAGCTGGCAGTGACGTTTGCGCAGTGGCCGCGCTGGCAGCCCGGTCAACATTTCAGGAACTGGGCCGTGCCACCGCGCGATCCCTGCGTTGGAATCATCAGAAACCCATCGCGGCTCCAGTCGCTTGAGCGTGATCTGCCCGAGCCTGGGGGGGGGGGGGGGGGGGCAGCATGACAGGATATGACAGGTTTTTTACCGGTCCGAGGCAAGATGAAGACTGGGCAGGGCACTGGACACGCCGTGCTTTGTGCTGAGGTGCTGCGCCACACAAGACTAGGCAGTCACAGACAAACAGATCCAAGCTGAGACAACTGCGACAGCTGACACTGCCCAGTCAGGCCCCGATGCCAGAGGTGCAAAAATGCAGGGGTAAGGTTCCACCAGGTTCAGGACAGACTCTACTGACTATCCTGCCACGCCTGGGAGGTTCAGGTCCCGGCAGCACTGTCACTGGACACTATGGCACGGTGGGCAAGCACGCGAAGGAGAATTCCTGGCTCCACGTTTGCCTGTGCCCTTCGCCGTCGACAAGACGATCGCAGAGAGCCCAGAATACTCTTAAGAACACCAGGCTGCTCACACGCCATTCAAGCTGACACAGCTGACACTGCCCCCGTCAGGCCTCTGTGCGCGTCACCCACAAGAGTTCGCGCACCTCGTCATGTTTGTTGACAGGTTGCCGTTCCAGCGTGTCAGCTAACTGGGCTCAAAGAGGAGCAGTTCGTTAAGACAAACAAAGCCGGAGAGCACACGCGTTCAGCTCATCCACCAAACTCAAGCACAGGCACAGGGAACGCCGGCACTTGATTTTGCGCGATGACCGCAGCATCAGCGACGCTGGTGCCACTCCAACTGGAGTAGGGCCGCGTATCACTGCGTCACTGCGCGCTTTTCCTATCCTGGCTCATCGACGTCTCACACCCAGAGGACCTTAGGACGTCCTCAAAGGCTGCAAGTACCAGCACAGGGCGTTCGACACTTTCATTGAAAATCGCTGGCTTGTCCTGGCCCCCACCACAGCACCCTCAGGCAGGGCAGGAAATCGCTGGAGCACTAAAACTTCACTCGCATGATGGCGCCTCAGCCTTTAAAAAAGAACCTCACTCACAGCCTTCCGGCGCTGAGCACAGTGATCTGGGCGAGTCCCAACTCGAACCCTCTACTCGCCTATGAGAGATCATGACCGTATGAGACCCCTATCTCCTCTGAATCAGCTGCCTTGTGATTTGCAGAGCCATGCAGTGACGGACAATCGAGGTGTCGTGATCGCCATCTGCACCTCAGCTTCAGGTTTAATTAGAGGATTTTGCAAGAGAGAGCTCTGTGTTAAGTCAACTGGACATCAGAAGCCCCTCTAGGGCCCCAGACGTTGGCAAAGAGCCATGGCTCTTCAGCAAGCCATGCTGAGCGCTCGGGAATCAGCTGCGAACATGCCCGCAAGATGCCCCAAGTTTCGAAAGCAAGAATTTTGAAGCAGCAGGGCTGTGGATGAGACTAACACCCTAAACCACGCCAGTATTCATGCTCCTCGAAACATTAGAGAGCCACACGAAGTTGCCCAGTCGCGTACACTTCTACCCTGCCCTTAAGCATTGCCGCGTCGAGGTAGTGCGCAAAACTTGTTTCCAACCCCAAGGACCCAATTGGAGAATCAATTGGAGAATTCCCTGACTTGACTTGGAGGCTCTCAGTAGGTACATCGTTGCCCTACCTATAACCTGTAATCCGACTTGCAGCTAATCATTGCATGTATCTTAATTCCGGTTAGGAGCACGGGTCGAGGTTCCCGGAGAGTCTGCGCAGGTCCCCGAGACGCTACTCACTAAGGGAGGGTTTAGGGCTTAGGGTTCAGGGCGTAGGGTTGCAGGAAACCCCAAGCAACTTACCCCAACCTCGTGATAAGCTTGAAGCTGAGCGAAACTCCCCAACTCTTTTTGCATCACCAACAACCCGCAAAACTACCATCATGCCGACTTTGTTAAGCGCTGGCCAAGTATCATGCTGCGTTAAGCAGCACGCTATTCTCAAACACGAAATGCTAGAGAATTCTTCTTCTCTGCAAGTTGCTCAAGAGCAACTGCTTGGCCGCCCCCGCCCCGTAGGGAGTCACAGGCAGCTTGGACGGCTTTGAAGTTGGCCGTAGCCTTCAAGTGGGGCACGTATTGTGGTTGCCTGACGGGTCAGCTATGCATGTTTTGCAACAAGCACCAACTTTATTTAGGGTGTGCTACAGCTAGCGAAGCTAGAGGCACAGTTGCCATGGCAGCAACGACAAACAAAGCCAAAACTGTAGATAAGAACTTTAAGTAGTGCAGCACAAGTGTTCACAAGCATTATGTTCTGCGTAAGCTGTGATATGCTGCACATGTATGTCAGGCATGTGTCCATGACTCATGGCTGACATCCACAGAGACCATACTGAGCTTCAACCTTTTTTCTTGTCTTTTGAACGCCCCACATTTGGAAGCCTCGGCCAAAGCCACGGCCTTTTTTACGGAGCCGAGTGGCCCCAGACTAAGCCCGCGAAGGTCACCCTGGAAGAACATGCCTCGAGGAAGTTCGGAGGTTGAACGTTACATTCTACGATGCTGTTATAACATGCTAGACTCCTGTGTACTAGACTATACTCATGTGTGTGTGTGTGTGCATGTGGGGTCCTATATGTGCGGAATACGAACTTTCTTGATGAAACCTCAGCATGAAGCTGCCACTGCCTTTCGGGTCTTCACTTCCGATAACGCAGAAGAGGCGTGAGAAGCAAGGGAGCACGCCGCGCCTCGGCAGCGCGCGTCGGCAGTCAGTCTCCCAGGCCTCCACGTGGTCTCACCATCATCTCCTGGATGATTCTGGGAATGAAAGAAGCATCTCCATGGCTTCCTTTAAAGGGATCTGCAGGGATGGTCGGATGGTCATAGGGCCATAGGGATAGTCATAGGCATGGTCACGGAATAGTTTCTGAATCCAGATAGAATCACCGGGTCCTGTGCAAGTGCTGCCAGGACACAGAACTCGGCCTCTGCGCAGAAGCTGCGCAGCAGCTGCTCCCTGAGCAGCACCCTGAGCACGATATCCGCAACAGGGTTTCCAGCTGGGCCTTGGCTGCAAATCTCGGGTCTGCTTAGCTCGAAGCTTTCTGGAGGTCTCGCTTGTCGGCTCTACCCTCCAGACTTGGGAGGGACACCGGGATGAATGCCCTCATTCCTGCATCCTGAAACCCAGACCGTAAAACTGCACCAAGGCACTAAGCGCTCCCTCAATGGGGGGGCGACTCGAAGAAGCGTGGCCAGGCAGCCGCTCGTCCGGCTTTGCACCAAATGCGACCTCGTGGGCGAATGTACCCTGAACTGTACATGGTTGTCCTTGAGGTAATGAACCGATGAATGACTTAAAGGCTTGTATAGTACATGTGTATGTATATGTGTCGATCTTTCTATATGTGTATATACATGTATTTAGATACAAACATATTATATATATATATATATATGGTCACCCCCCCCCCCTCGACAGACCCCGGAATTGTATTTCCGATCTGTCCAGGAAGCGGGGGGGGGGGGGAAGAGCACCACTCCAAAATTCCTCGAATTTCCAAAAATCCAAAACTCCAAAAAAACCAAACCCAAGTTTCGGATTTTTGGAAACTCGAGGAATTTGCTCAAAATCCAAAAAAACCCAAAATTCCTCGAGTTTCCAAAAATCCAAAAATCCAAAAATCCCAACCCCAGTTTCGGATTTTTGGAAACTCGAGGAATTTGCTCAAAATCCAAAAAACCCAAAATTCCTCGAGTTTCCAAAATTCCAAAAATCCAAAAATCCCAACCCCAGTTTCGGATTTTTGGAAACTCGAGGAATTTGCTCAAAATCCAAAAAAACCCAAAATTCCTCGAGTTTCCAAAAATCCAAAAATCCAAAAATCCCAACCCCAGTTTCGGATTTTTGGAAACTCGAGGAATTTTGGGTTTTTTTGGATTTTGAGCAAATTCAAAATTCCTCGAGTTTCCAAAAATCCGAAACTGGGGTTGGGATTTTTGGATTTTTGGATTTTTGGAAACTCGAGGAATTTTGGGTTTTTTTTTGGATTTTGAGCAAATTCCTCGAGTTTCCAAAAATCCGAAACTGGGCTTGGGATTTTTGGATTTTTGGAATTTTGGAAACTCGAGGAATTTTGGGTTTTTTGGATTTTGAGCAAATTCCTCGAGTTTCCAAAAATCCGAAACTGGGGTTGGGATTTTTGGATTTTTGGAATTTTGGAAACTCGAGGAATTTTGGGTTTTTTTGGATTTTGAGCAAATTCCTCGGGTTTCCAAAAATCCGAAACTGGGGTTGGATTTTTGGATTTTTGGAATTTTGGAAACTCGAGGAATTTTGGGTTTTTTTTGGATTTTGAGCAAATTTGGGTTGGGATTTTTGGATTTTTGGATTTTGGAAACTCGAGGAATTTTGGGTTTTTTTGGATTTTGAGCAAATTCCTCGAGTTTCCAAAAATCCGAAACTGGGTTGGGATTTTTGGATTTTTGGATTTTTGGAAACTCGAGGAATTTTGGGTTTTTTTGGATTTTGAGCAAATTCCTCGAGTTTCCAAAAATCCGAAACTGGGGTTGGGATTTTTGGATTTTTGGATTTTTGGAAACTCGAGGAATTTGGGGTTTTTTTGGATTTTGAGCAAATTCCTCGAGTTTCCAAAAATCCGAAACTTGGGTTGGGATTTTTGGATTTTTGGATTTTTGGAAACTCAGGTTTTGGTGAGATTCTTTTAGGGGTTCTACACTCATGAGAAATATGAAATATATTAAAAACACAGAGAGCTATGCTAGCAACAGCTACTGAAGTTGCTTACGGAAGTGCGAGGAAAAGTGCTTGATGCTGCGCTTCTGCCCACGTTAATGAGAACCCTATGATAGTTGATAGGAATCCTAATAAATTGAAGAGGACCCCTACTACAATTAATAGGAACCAATGGGACTCCTATAACGAATGTGAACCCTTAACTAATAGGAATCCTAATTAAAATGATATGAGCCTAAACCAATAGGAATCCCTTTCAAATGAATCAGATCCCTATTAAAATTAATACGAATCCACATATCATGAGTAAGAGCTCTGAAATTGATATGAGTCTTATTGCAGTAGTAGGAGCTTTATCAAAATACTTAGGAACCATATGAAACTTCACTGGAATCCTATGAAAATAAGTAGGAATCTTTCGGGCTCCTACGAAATTTATCGGGGAAGCTAGTAGAAAGCCCATTAAATTGAAGAGGAACCCTTAACAAATCAAAAGAACGCAGTGAAGATTAATAGGAATTAATCGGACTCCTATGAAAAATAAGATTCGTTTAACAAGAATTAGTAGGAATCCTACTAAATGAATATGAGCCTAAACCAATAGGAATTCCTTTCAAACGAATGAGACCTCTATCCGGTACGGATTCTTAGTTCCTGGGTTACCTCTTATTGAAATCCTTTTTGAAATATATTGAATTTCAATAAGGGCGGTACTAGGAACTAAGAATCCTGTGTTTCTATTTTAAGACCCTTATTGAAATATTGAATTTGAATAAGGGCTGTACTAGGAACTAAGAACTCAGACCAAGAGTCCCTGGCAGTCTTAGTTCTTAGTTCTTGGTTCCGCCCTTATTGAAATTCAATATTTCAATAAGGGTTTCCATAATGACCACCCGTATTGAAGTTCAATACTTCAAGAAGGGTTTCAATAATGCCAACCCTTATTGAAATTCAATATTTCAATAAGGGTTTCAATAATGACCACCCTTGTTGATTCAATATTTCAATAAGGGTTTCAAAAATGCTAACCCTTCTGGACATTCAATATTTCAATAAGGGTTTTAAAATAGAAACACATAGGTTTAACAGACAACAAAAGAAAAACATACAACAACAGAGCAAAACATCAAAGGCATTAAACAAAGCAAAAAAGTATAGATCTTTGGGGAGGGGGGGTACCATATATCTCTATTGTTTGTTAACGTGTCTGGCTACTGTGTGCAGCTATGCTGTCCGTCGCGCCCTCAGCCCTTTTTTTGCTTCCGGGGGTCTGTCGAGGGGGGGGGGGTGAGCATATATATGTATATATCATAAGCGCAACAAGAACGAGCACGGCAACAAGAAGATACACCCGTGGTACCTTTGATGCCAAGTGTTGGAGGCGGGCCCAGAGCAGGCCACCGCGGTTCGGGGCATATTGGGTTTAGGGGGGTTGTTGCGGCCCGGGCCAAGCATTGCACCGCTCCAACCTTGCGGCTTCGTACGAAGTGCTGCAGCGTAGGGCGGTCGGCAGCACCACACGGAAGCCGGGGAAGCCGGGAACAAAGGCGCCTCAAAACCGACCCTGACGTTCCCAAGGCCTCTTCGGCCCGGGCCCACGAGGTGCGATGCGATCTCGAAAGCATCGGCACCTATTAGAAGCTCCTGAAGCTCCTCGGGGAGCCCCTGAAAAAAAGGCGCTCGCTCAGGTCTCTTAACTGCGCTGAGAAGGAGATTGGACCGCAGGCGTGGAGCTACCAAGGTTCACGATACAGGGTTTACAGGGTTTACAGGGCTTTCAGGGTTTTCAGGGTTTACAGGGTTTACAGACCGGGATTACACAGTTTACACAGTGTACAAGGTTTACACAGTGTACAAGGGTTACATGGGGTTTCGGGTCCCACAACATGGTCTTGAGCCGTAAGCTCTGCCTGCTGAAGCGTCGTTGGACTGTATCCCACACACCCCTGGGCCACTGAACAGAAGGCCCTAACCACCCGAACTTTCCAGAGACCCAACATTGGCAAAACGCCCCCCAAGGGGTGACCCCAAAAGCACCCCAAACCCGATAGAAAATCCTGGTTCTAACCCCACACAGGGGATCCTTTGGGTGAAGCCCCGAATGCAGGAGGGAGCGTCCTCAAGCTCCGCTGGCCCCTCTCACAGATGCAGCAACGTGGGAAACATTGGAGGTCCATAAGAGACCGACCTGCAACCAAACTCCACAGAAAACTCTCTGTGCACTTCTGAACATCAAGAAGAAAGCCCACGTTGCCTGAGGCTTTCGGCGGGTGCGGTTATTAAGACGTGCACTGGGCACTACCCGTCACTACCCTACACAAAAACTCCAGCGGGCCCCTCAGAGTTAACCTAACACAACGAGAGCAGCCAAAAAAAAAAGACGAAGAGAGCGCAGGCCCCCGTCCCTCCATTTTTTTCCCTCCACCCCCGCTGGTTGAGAGCTGCGCCCATGGCTGGAGAGGCCATTCGCTTTCCTCAGCAGACATCAGAGATCACTGATATATGTATATATCTGTATGTATATATATACATACAGATATATAGATACAGATATATAGATACAGATATATAGATAAATACATATATATATATATATATCACTGGGACGCTTTTGGGTTCCCACTGGAGATGAGCTTGGGATCAAAATTTAGCAAAAAAACCCCTCTCTCCGGGAGCATCTCTGCCAGAGATACGTGTAGGTGTGGGTGTACGTAGGTAGATATAAAGGTATATATATAGGTATATATATATATATATAGGTATATATATATATAGGTATATATAGACACACACACTCACCTTTTTCTATAAGGAGTCCTAGAAATACACTCAGCAAGAACGGTGGGATAATCCCTCTTTCAATCTGGGTGTTGCAAGCTGGTTGGAGGGGGATGCGAGTTGAGCTCATCCGTCACGAGCTCTGATCTCTCGTTCCGGTGGGCTTTAGGGGGGGTTGGCCAGGGTGGGGGGGGGTTAGCAGAAAAGGCTTTTTGGGGCAGCGCACGGGAGAGCCTGGCCCTAAGCCTAAGAGCCCTGTAAACCTCCCTACAACTCACTCTGAACCCCTGCTGGGCGAGGATCGGCGATGCGGAGTACGAGCCTTTTCCAGTGGTCCGCCGAGTGATCACGAGGCGCTCAGCCAATGCGAGATGTCCCAAGCCTGCTGAAGGAATCCAACACGCCAAGAACCCCAAAAGGCCCTGACATAGCATAGGTGCCCTCTTGCATCCGGAAACGAAAAGACAAAAACAGACGCCTCCACAATTGAAGAAAACGGCTGAACCCAATCTCTGGCAGCCTTCATAATCTCTGGCCATCAATCCCAACTCCTAAACCCTAAACCCCAAACCCTTAAACCCTAAACTCATCTTAGACTTCGGCTTGAACCTTGAGACCAAAGGTTGCGTTCCGAGAATGCTCGATGCTCCAAGCTGCATCGTGTGTGTGGGGGGGGGGGGGGCATTTCGGGGCCCACAGAGAGAGAGAGAGAGAGAGAGAGAGAGAGAGAGAGAGAGAGAGAGGAGAGAGAGAGAAAAGAGAGAGAGAGAGAGAGAGAAAAAGAGAGAGAGAGAGAAAGAGAGAGAGAGAGAGAGAAAGAGCCGGAGAGAGAGAGAGAGGGAGGAGAGAGGAGAGAGGCAGAGAGAGAGAGCGAGCGAGCGAGCGAGCGAGGGGAGGTAGGGAAGGGAAGGGAAGGAGCGGGAGAGGGAGGGACAGGGAGAGGGAGAGGGAGAGGGGGAGGGAGGGAGAGAAAAGAAAAGAGTCTCGCCAAAAAGAGGCTCCTGCTTGCGTCGCGAAGATGGCTCCGAGTGGCAGCTTGGGACAGACGTCAGCCTCAGCAGGAGAGGGGTTTCAGATGTTTGCTAGGGGAGTGTTTAAGTTTTGGGGTCTTCCCGGACCTGGTACTGCTCCTGCTGCCCTAAACAAATAGTTGCACGAAAACTTCTCCGGAGTCTCTGACAGTCTTACATACACCTCCCACTGGCTGCACTAAAGGCTGCCAGGTAGCAAAGTCACAGAAAACCTCTGAACGCCGGAGCCTCGTCGAGCGCAGCTAAGGGCTACGTTGGCTCCATCGGCTCGACGAGCTTCGCTGGAAGATGAGCGGTGTGGGCGCTGGGGGCGGTGAGGGCGGTGAGGGGACCTGGGAGCCGTTTCCAACACCTTTGCACGCGTTTAACACAAGGCCCACTACACAGGCCCGCGCAAAGGAAAGCGGCATCCAGTTCCGCGGGCGCGGATGATGCGTGCCCGCAGCTTGCACGGAGGGCACGGGAAGTCGCCGTGCTCGTGAACGGGTGCTGACGTGGCTGAGGTGGCTGACGTGCAGCCAGCAACTTCAGCAACTGGACGCCGCGGAGCCTCCCCGGATTGCTGGAGCCTCCGATCTCCCTCGGCTCGGTCGATCTCAAGGCGATCTCAAGGCGATCTCAAGGCGATCTCAAGGCGATCTCAAGCGTTCGGGGGACTTTCAGGGGCTCGCAGCAACTCTCGGGTTTCATGCCCACAGAAGTACGGCCTCCTTCGAGGGGCTCGGATTGTGTCCTGAAAATGTGCTGTTCTCTTTCTTCTTAAAGGTCAAGGTAAAGATGTTTGTAAGGTTTTCTCCCAAAGTCAGAAAAGTAGGGGCCGACTGCAAGTCAAAAAAGACTTCGCAAGCCACGGAAGCTGTTGTTGGCTCGGTGGTCCATGGCCCGCTGAGCTTTTTAAAGAGCACTTTTTTCTAGCTTTTCCTAGACAACCCCTAGAATCTACCTCCTGCAGACCCCGCACCTGAACATGCCGAATATGTGGGCGCGCTTTCTGGGGCCAAGCTCGGCCCAAGATCCCTCAGATCTCCCCCGTCTTTCCCCGACCTCTCCCAAAAGCCCCAGAAGCGCCAGTCTTAGCCCTCACACCGACGGGGAGCTTTGAAGCGGGAAGGGCCCTTGCCGGAGCTGCGCGAAGCCGCGCGAGGCTGCAGGAAGCGGTCTGGACGGCATGGCAAAGGTGGAGAAAGGAAGGAGAGAAAGCAGAGGAGACAGGAGCAAGTGCTCAGGGACAGGCTGGCTGTAGGTATCTTAACTGAGGTCAACTGAGAGGCTCGCGAAGCCCCACTCGGATTCGCTTGGAAATTCGAGGAGGCTGCCATCCACCTGGCACTCCGGCGGCGAGAATGCTGAGACTCGAAGTTCGGATTCTACTTTTTTGACCATCACGTGTAGAAGGTTGGATTGCAAAGTCTGTGGCTGCAGCCTCAAGAGCTGCAAGCATCGTTCGCTGCATCTCTCATACCGCGCCGGATGATGCCGAGTGCGGTAGGGCTACAAGACCCCAAGATCTCACAGGAACCAAAGGCAGCTCGTAGCAGAAGTGTGCAGGGACGATCGGGCATAGCAGCACCATCACGATGCCAGGCGATCAGGCTTCGACTCAGGTGACACAGAAGGGCTGTGTGGCCCACATGGTAAGGCCATCAGCCTTCATGTTGCACAATGCCCCGAGCTGCAGAGCCAGGCCTTTCCAAGTTGGAGCACAGGCAGGGGAGCTCCAAAGCAGTCTCAGACAGAGGGATTGACAAGATTCGTAAGGCGCTTGCAACTCGAACTTGGCAGCCCGCTGTCTCATGCTGGCCGGCGGCGGAAAGCGCGCAAGCTCAAGACACCGCGCCACCCTTGCAGCCTGATTGCGGGAGGCTCTGCCCGTGGCTCCGCAAATGGACAGCGCGACACTGAAAGGGAGGCGGCAAGAGTTGAAAGACGGAACTGCGCGGCGGGCCCGCATCGGAGCTTGCTTGCGGAAAGTGCCGCCCCGTGTGCCCTGCAAATGGCCTGCCTTCGCTAGACGAGCGCCGACCCACACATCCAGACCCCGTGCCAGTCCCTCAAGAGGCGCAAAGGTCTCGAATGTCTCAGGTGGCACAGGAGGGCGGTCATCCGGGTCAGCCGCGCTGAAGGCCTTTGGGGGCCATCACAACGCGATCTGACCTGAAGCATTCTGAACATTGTGTGAGATTGTGTGGGCCGTGTGGGCGGCGTGAAAGACTTGGTGGGCAACCTGCCGGACTGCGCCGCGACCATGCTGGAGTCGAGCAAGGACTCTCCGAAGCAAGCCGGAGCCTTCAGACACCTCCCTCCTCTCCCGCGGCGCGTGGCCTGAGAGTTTAAAAAGGCTTCACTTGAAGGCAGCTTCAGCGCTCTGCTCTCGATCTGCCAGCGGCGCATGGGCCCCGATGGATGGCCGAACCAGACACGCCACAGACCCCGGCGCGGTTGGATCTGCCGGTCACCTGGGCCCCGTCACAGCGTCTCGATGAGAGCGCTGCGCCGCAATGACGGCCACATGCGGTGGGGTGGCACAAGCCCGGCACCCCAGCTTATAAGAGATGCCTGTGCAGCGGCCACTTGATGAGCAACCTGCCCTCTGAACGAGCACGGAGCTTGCGTTCTGCTGATGCATCTATGCACTTCGATCTTCAATGCTCGGAAAGAAAGTCGGCTTACCGGAATGCTTCTTTCCTTAAGGCGCACTTTGCACTTTTTCGGAGTACTCACAGTTGGTGGACAGAATGTCGGGGGCGAGGGAATCCAGCCCGGAACCCAGACCGAAAGACACCACACGGGCCACACAGGAAGCACCCAGCGTCAGCTCTCAGGTATCTCCCCGGCCCTCCCAAGTGAGCCCCACAAGAGTGGCTCAATGTTTGTGAGAAGGCCTTTTGTGAGAAGGCCTCAAAGCGGGATTCGAAGAGGGCTTAGAAGAGGGGGCCTCAAATGAGAGACGCTTGCGGCCGCGAGAGCTTCGAAGAGCCCCTGCGCAACGCAAGCGAAGGTCACAGGGCCGTTGGAGAGGGGCTGGGTGGCTGAGCGCGCCTTTGGATGGACAAGAGGCCTGCATCCTGCAGATCTAAGTAGGGCTCCACATCGTCGGAGTTAAGAAGCGATAGACTGTGTTCCCAGTCTGGCGCCCGTGCTCATTCAGATCTTCGGGTTTAGGGCTCAGGGTTAAGAGCAGGGGCTGTAGGGTCACTCCGGAGCCATGATGGCTGTGCGAACCTGCGAACCTGCGCCTGCGCCATTGGCAAAGCTTCCACAACATCCGCCAGGAAAGCGGCTGGCGTGCAGCACGCATTTGCGGAGACATTCGGTCAGGGCGGACAGAGGCTGGAGGCTGGAGGCACAGACTCGTGTACGTCTCCAGCACGTGGTGGCTAGGTGTAGAAGCACTACAGCAGCGATCCGTACCACCAAACCGTCAGCACCCCAGCTTATAAGAGATGCCTGTGCAGCGGCCACTTGATGAGCAACCTGCCCTCTGAACGAGCACGGAGCTTGCGTTCTGCTGATGCATCTATGCACTTCGCTCTTCAATGCTCGGAAAGAAAGTCCGCTTACCGGAATGCTTCTTTCCTTAAGGCGCGCTTTGCACTTTTTCGGAGTACTCACAGTTAGTGGCAGAATGTCGGGGGCGAGGGAATCCAGCCCTGTCACAGGGCCGTTTGAGAGGGGCTGGGTGGCTGAGCGCGCCTTTGGATGGACAAGAGGCCTGCATCCTGCAGATCTAAGTAGGCCTCCACATCGTCGGAGTTAAGAAGCGATAGACTGTGTTCCCAGTCTGGCGCCCGTGCTCATTCAGATCTTCGGGTTTAGGGCTCAGGGTTAAGAGCGGGGGCTGTAGGGTCACTCCGGAGCCATGATGGCTGTGCGAACCTGCGAACCTGCGCCTGCGCCATTGGCAAAGCTTCCACAACATCCGCCAGGAAAGCGGCTGGCGTGCAGTTCGCATTTGCGGAGACATTCGGTCAGGGCGGACAGAGGCTGGAGGCTGGAGGCACAGACTCGTGTACGTCTCCAGCACGTGGTGGCTAGGTGTAGAAGCACTACAGCAGCGATCCGTACCACCAAACCGTCAGCACCCCAGCCTATAAGAGATGCCTGTGCAGCGGCCACTTGATGAGCAACCTGCCCTCTGAACGAGCACGGAGCTTGCGTTCTGCTGATGCATCTATGCACTTCGCTCTTCAATGCTCGGAAAGAAAGTCGGCTTACCGGAATGCTTCTTTCCTTAAGGCGCGCTTTGCACTTTTTCGGAGTACTCACAGTTGGTGGACAGAATGTCGGGGGCGAGGGAATCCAGCCCGGAACCCAGACCGAAAGACACCACACGGGCCACACAGGAAGCACCCAGCGTCAGCTCTCAGGTATCTCCCCGGCCCTCCCAAATGAGCCCCACAAGAGTGGCTCAGAAGAGTGAATGTTTGTGAGAAGGCCTTTCGTGAGAAGGCCTCAAAGCGGGATTCGAAGAGGGCTTAGAAGAGGGGGCCTCAAATGAGAGACGCTTGCGGCCGCGAGAGCTTCGAAGAGCCCCTGCGCAACGCAAGCGAAGGTCACAGGGCCGTTGGAGAGGGGCTGGGTGGCTGAGCGCGCCTTTGGATGGACAAGAGGCCTGCATCCTGCAGATCTAAGTAGGCCTCCACATCGTCGGAGTTAAGAAGCGATAGACTGTGTTCCCAGTCTGGCGCCCGTGCTCATTCAGATCTTCGGGTTTAGGGCTCAGGGTTAAGAGCGGGGGCTGTAGGGTCACTCCGGAGCCATGATGGCTGTGCGAACCTGCGAACCTGCGCCTGCGCCATGGGCAAAGCTTCCACAACATCCGCCAGGGAAGCGGCTGGCGTGCAGCGCGTATTTGCGGAGACATTCGGTCAGGGCGTACAGAGGCTGGAAGCACAGACCCTGGCACGGTTGGATCTGCCGGTCACCCGAGTGCAATCCCAGAAAAACCTTGGGGTCACGTCATGGCACACAAACAGCGAGCATTGCCAGAGAGGCAGCAAGAGGTGAAAGTCGAAGTGGTGCAGCGTGACGATGTGCAAGAGCTGGGGATCGAACGCCTGAAAGGCGAAGGGTCACAGAAAGAGGGTGATGCGCAGCAGCCTCTGCCACCTCGTCAGGATCAGATTTGCGCGCCGTGAACAAAGGAGCTTCGTCCGTTTCCCGCACCATGTGGCACAGATGCGAGATGCCCCAAAACAGTTTCGAATGACTGCTGGGCCCAGGCCGGATGAAGATTAGCCATGAGGACCGGAAGCAGGCTTCAGTTGAAGAAGGCACACCTCAAGGCCCTAAAGCTCCAGTTCTCCACAGGCAAGGACAGTTCAACGAACCTTTTCAAGGCCGCGCGCCCGCGCATCCTGCGAGCTTTTCCGGGTTTGGAGAGCTGTCCCACGCCGGGCACAAGCACCTTGGGGGCCCAGTAAAGTCCCTAAACTCCACAGAGAGCCATGTTGAGGAGGCCAGCATCTCCGAGCTCTAAAGCCCTGAAGAACGAAGGTGCTCTGCTCTAGACTGTGTTCGCAGTCTGGCGCCCATGCTCATTCAGATCTCGGGTTTAGGGCTCAGGGTTAAGAGCGGGGCCTGTGGGGTCACTCCGGAGCCATGATGGCTGTGCCAACGCATGGACAGTCACCCGAGATGCTCTTGCCAACAGCCGGCGGTGTGGGATATTTACACTATGAAGTCTAAACACCGCTAGGCTTGGTCGAGTGCCATATTGGAAACACGCTACATCCATCGGTGGTCGTGCACAATGGCCCACCAAGGTTACCGGCAACCAAAAGTTCGGATGAAACGAACGGTCATGCTGTCTGACAATGCACCCTTCCCCTCGGCCCATCCAGAAAGCAGGTGCGCCCCACAACGTCTTCCCCACAAGGCTTGCATCCTGCACGGCTACAGACCTGCGATGCGCACGCACGGCCTCATCCGTGGGCATCGCCAAATTCTAGCAGTTTCTGTGCTGGCATACCTTGCCCTTGGCACGACCATCTGTGCAAGTTAGAGCGCAGCCGTCTGCGAACTCCAACCTTGCCCCCTGCCGACTGCCATTTTTCAAGGCCGCATGCCCGCGCATCCTGCGAGCTTTTCCGGGTTTGGGAGCTGTCCCACGCCGGGCACAAGCATGTTGGGGGCCCAGTAAAGTCCCTAAACTTCACAGTTGTAAAGGCTCAGAGAGTCGCGTTGAGGAGGCCGGCATCGCCGAGCTCCAAAGCGCTAGAGAAACGAAGTTGCTCTGTTCGCAGTCTGGTGCCCGTGCTCATTCAGATCTCGGGTTTAGGGCTCAGGGTTTAAAGTGGGGGCTGTAGGGTCACTCTGGAGCCAAAGGCTGTACGAACCTGCGAACCTGCGCCATTGGCAAAGCTTCCACAACATCCGCCAGGGAATCAGCTTGCGCGCAGCACGTACTTTCAGTTGTAAACTCTACTCGGTGCTTCCATAGCTCGCAAGGCATCGCATCTCTAAAGGCAATGCCGCGCGCAAAAAAAGAGACAAGATCTCACAGGGCTGGGGAGACTTGCGGATGCAGCGGAACAAGGAGCTCGACAGGCCGAAACGATGCTGGCTTTGTGGAGCTGAAAAATAGTCTGGTGGCCGATGATGCATGGAGACACGGCGCATGTGGGAGGGCTGAGACGGCATCTGAACAAACAGTGCAAAGGCCATGCAGATATGGAGCCACAGCCATCGCAAAATGTGCTTACACCACACCCTGAAGCCAAGGCCTTAGGATGTCTCATGACTGGAGAGACCGCGCCGTGTTGTAGCATGTTCCGATTCTCAGCAAAATGGCCCACCAAGGTCCATCGGCAACCAGAAGTTGGGCTGAAACGAACCATCATGCTCTCTCGCTGACAATGCACCCTTCCCGTCCGCCCATCCAGAAAGCATGTGCGCGCGACGATGTCTTTCCCACAAGGCTTGCATCCTGCACGGCTACAGACCTGCGAC